GTGTCCTAGAGGCGGTTTCTCCTTTGGAAATGGGTGATGCCCAAATGCCCCGCTCACGGCGAGCTTTGCGGTGCTGCTCTGGGTCTCCATCGAGCTGCTTTCTCCAGGCACCAATTCAGAGCGAGCCTGATGATTTTAGCAGCGGGGCTTTAGCCCAGATTTCCTCTGAATTGCACAGGGGGGAACAAAGCAGGGTTTGGTGCTTGGAAGAAACCTTCCTCCCGTGCAAAACGTTGGGAGCTCTCCTCGACGGAGCATCCAAGCCAGCGTCCGGGCTTGCTTCACCAGCACGAGCCAGTGGGGAAGGTTTTACTCCCACTGGTGATACTGTTAACGGTGGAATGAAATATATTCACAAACAACTAATATTTTCTCCGTCACTGCAAAGAGCATGCATCTGGAAATAATTAGCATGCACAAAAACAACTTGCACATTCCTCCTAGGCCTCTATTTTGTGCCGCCTGCAGACTCTGGCAACGACGGTTTTATCGGCAGCTCTCAATTTCTGCATATTTTTCAATATTTCTAACACCCAGTCTGGCCTACGCCAACCCCTGGCGAAAGCTTGCTGGTGATGCAGAAACCACACTCAGCCTCCAGCAAACCACCCTCCAGCGCAGCTTTTTTGCTTGCATGGTTTGATGGCAGCACTGGCTTTTTTTCCTCCACAAAGCCTTCGCCGCCGCTGACGTGCTCCTACTTGCGCCTTCGTCTCTGTAGATGACGGCAGCATCGGGAACCGGCTGCCCCGCCGCTGTTCCCCCCAGGGTCACGAGTTGCAGCAACTGCTTTTGGGTCGAATTAAACTTGGAAAGGGGCTGCCCAGAGCAGCTGGGTTTTTAGCTGCGTGGCCGGCAGGAGTCCGTGCAATGCCAGGATGGGTCCCACCAGCCCGGTGGTTGAATGTCCACCGTGCTGAGTGAGGACAGGGAAGGGACACGTGCTCCTCACCCCGTGGGACCACAGGCTCAGCACCTTCGCTGGGCTGAACCCCGCTGGCAGAGGTTTGCTCCCTCCTCCAAGCCCTTGCCCTGACACCAGCTCCAGCGGCTGCCCCAGGGCTCCGCGTTTCTCTTGCAAAGCAAGAGCAGGTCTAAGAGGTCTTGTCATTAGCTCGGCATAATTTGCCATCCCAAAGCACCTGCTTTCTTGCCCAAGGCCGCATCCAGCCATGCTGGGGATGCGTTGCACACCCAGCACAGCTTTCCCTGCAAGTTCAATACTGTCTGCTCCGCTTTGGTCCAAACTAACGAGGGATATATAACCACGGACAAGAGTTGCAATGCTTAAAGCCTAAAGAAGCCCAATGTCTTGGCTGTCTCGGAGAGGCGTTCACCTTGAGCATGGCTGCAGTCCTCCCTCCAGCCCCCGGCAAAGCCCTCTCCCCTGCCCTGCCTGGGCGAGCTGCCCTCGCTCCGCGGGGCACCATGCATTGGTTTGGCTTAGTCAATATATTTCTGCATTGCTTCTATGAGAAGTTCATTAAAGCACTGTAACTATTGTGAAAAAACACACTGGAGACAAGCAACTTTGTTCTCAGCGCATGGCAAAGTAGCTGTGGTGAGCCCAGGCGGGAAGCGTAGCCCTGACACCACCCTGGTTATCCGGGGGTAAAACCCAGCGTGCAAAACCCAGCATGCAAAATCCAGTGTGCAAATCCTGGTGTGCAAAAGCCAGCATGCAAAACATGGCTTGCAAAACCCAGCATGCAAAATTCAGTGTGCAAACCCTAGCATGCAAATCCCAGCGTGCAAAACCTGGCGTGCAAAACCTGGCGTGCAAAACCCGGCGTGCAAAACCCGGCGTGCAAAATCCGGTGCGCGAACCCTAGCATGCAAATCCCAGTGTGCAAAACCTGGCGTGCAAAACCCAGCGTGCAAAATCCAGCATGCAAATCCTAGCATCCAGATCCCAGCGTGCAAAATGCAGCATGCAAAACCTGGCATATGAAATCTGGCGTGTAAAACCTGGTGTGCAAAATCTGGTGTGTAAAACCCGGTGTGTAAAACTTGGCATGCAAAAGCCGTCATGCAAAATCCAGCACATAAAACGCAGATGCGAAACCCAGCGCCTGGGTTTGGCGGGTCTCCCTGGGGACAGCTGGGCGCACTGGTGGCTCTGCACCGAGTGGGGAAGCAAAAGCCAAAGTGTTTTTGAGAAGCACCGACAGCGGCTCGAGAGGCAAAGATGAAAGTTTCTTGTGTGAGCAGAGAAAGAGGAAGAGGAAACGCGGCAGAAAATGAACTCGTGTGAAAACCCACTGCCTTCCACGTTCCCCTCCAGCTGGAGGAGTCCTGCAGAGGGTCCTGCTCAGAGCAACGCGGCTCCTCGGTCACGTCTGCTTTTCATAAGGGGACCAGACAAACAATCCCGGCTCTGCGGCTTCACCCCAAGCCAGATTTGGTTTCTCTGTTCCTGATGTGACCATGGCTTTCAAAAGCCAGGAGGAGCTGTGGGTGCTCCCGTGAAATGCATGGCAGAGGCTCGATGCTCCTTCGCTTAAGGGCTTCGCACGGTCCAAAGGCAAAGCCGTGTTTCAAGCTGGGACATCCAAAATACAGCATTGCATCTGAGCGACTGCAGAATCTGAGCGACTGCAGAGGCACGTGATGGAAAGACAGACGGACAAGCAGCACGTACCCAGCGTGCATTAAGAAAATGACAGAAGCCATCAGGCTGGGTGTTGGGTTTTGTCCCGTGTCCCTCCTGCTGGGCTCCCAGGGGCGAAGGCGAAGGCTGTAACGCAACAATTTGTGATGGCAGAAGGAAGGAGAAGTGGAGAAGCCAGAGCAGCCCGGCAGGGCCAGCTCCTTCTCTCTGCAAAGAAATAGGGACCGCAGGGGACCAATTTTTGACCTTACAAAATCACCCAGCGTATGGTTTACCCCCCTCCTCCTGGAAAAGCAGCCTTTAACCCACGAGACCTTCATGCAACACCCTCCAAACCTGTGCCCGGGCACGCATGAATGGCCAAGCGTGTGGTTTTGCGCACGCGGCCGCGCTCGATTTCACCGCGGCAGCCGGGACGAGGCTGGAGCTCGCTCCGGGACCCCGGGAACCGCTCCCGGCGGGGAGAGGTGAGGCCCCAGCCAAGCTCCCCAGCCTTCCCGCGAGGTTATTCCTGTTATTAATACGTGATAGTTGCCAGGATAAACTTTTTCTTTCCAGTTCTCCAAAGGGATCTTGGAGCTGCGTGGGCACAAGCTGTGCTGCCGCTCAGTGGCAACGCGCAGGAGGGTTCCTTGCTTTGCCGGCAGGTTTTTCAGCCCCTCCGAGGCAGGGAGAGGCTTTTTGCCTGTTTTTTCAACCTGATTCGTGTATTCAGTACCTATATCATAAATACTTATATGTTTATTACGGGTGCTACAATGCCATTGTGTATTTATAATATATAAACAAATGTTTATATATTTCGACTTGCAAAGTTCTATTTAGTGTTTATATACCGTTTGTGTATTTATAGTTGTCTGTCTGTGCCGGCAGTGTAATCTGTAGCTTGCCCAGGGGCTGCCCCTAAGCAATTACGGCTGCCCTATAAATTAACATTAACCCATCGCTACCGCCCTGCCCACGCCCCCCTCGTAAACAACACCTCCCCCCCCCTGGCCCACG